TCAAAGTCCATGGATCCCTTATGCCTGTGCCTAGGCAAAGGAGCTTTGCCTACTCTGGGTTCCTGGCTTAGGGAGCCGGCAGTTTATTTTTTCCCATTTGTTTATTTGTTCACTCTCCAAGGCAGGGAGAATGGCTCCAGGTGTGTGAGGGATCCTACTTCCAGCCCAGGGGACTTGGCAATTGCTGAAGCCAGTCCGGGACCCAGTGCAGGGCAGGGAGTGGTGAGATAAATGGGAGATGGTTTTTTCCCTAAAGGGGGGTGTTTTTGTTCAGTACAGTACGCCGTACGTGATTACTTCTCTTTCCCCGATGAGGGCTGCTTCTTAATGGTTCTTGGTGGCCATGTAGACTCTTTGGCGCTGGGTCTCACCCAGTGCGGAAAACGAGCACTACCACTTGCCTGCCTCACCGCTCACCCATGAGCTGCTCAGACCTAAGGGGCTCAGGCTCTAGTCAGGTCTGGCAGCTCCTCACTGCTTCTGAACTGTCTCTCCCTCCCCCTGCCACTCAGTCCCATTCCTCAACTCAATCTTTGATGTTCAGGTACCCGAGATTGCCATATATAATCGAATCACTTGTTTTCTCGGGTCTTTGTTGTAAGAGGGTCCACCAGAAGCGTCTGACTACTTCATCATCTTGGCCCCGCCTCCTTTTGTGCCTATTTTTCGTTTTCTGTGAGTTTCCGATTGTGGCAGGGGTTGAGGGTACTAGAGCAGGTTGGTGCTTAGGAGAAGGGATATTCTTCCAGTCTCATAGTTACTGCAATTACCTTTTTAAATGGACTTTTTTTTTTAATCATATTTGTCCATGCCTTTGAAAATCCAGTTGAATCATATCCATGGGCTTCCCCCTCACCCTTTCCATTTATTTACTTACCCCTTTGCAGGATCAGCCCTCACAAAGGTTTTTTTCCTTTCTAGCATGAAATTATCTTTAACTCTTTTATTCATTCTGTCCAATATGCAGTATTCACTATGGAAATGATGTTCAACAACCTGGTGGTTTGAGGTCCCCTCCAGTGTAACCATCAATTACCTTTTTCGGGGCTAAAGTCTCGTTAGTAATCTGCTAATGTTTTTCATTGTAGTGCACACAATTTTGCAGTATCACTCATGACTTTTGGAAGGCTCATCAGTCTGAGTGGTATGTTTAGTTTTCAGTTTGCTGTTAGATCTAGAACTCTTTGTTGTTCACCACTGGTAGCTATCTGTTTCAAACAGCAATTTGAGAGGTAGAAGCTCCCTTGTGCCTTCACTGTAAATGGAGAGAGAATTTTTGTAGCCTCTTAGTCCCTCTTACCTGGGTCTCTTAGCCTTTTCCTCTATGTATGGTCGGCTGCTCTTCTTATTAACTGGATTCCTGTTTTGTTCTCTCTTGCGTATCATTTTAATTTTATTCCATTTTGAGGAACACACTTTTTTACCTGTGAAAGCTTCCTTTGCTTGCCTGTTTGCCATGATGTTCTTGTTTTGTTTTGAGCCCGATTCTTTTTTCCAGAGCTTTGAATAAATTATTTTCAACAAAAACCTCTCAGTCAAGATCTTGTGAGGATTTACTTATTTAAACTTTTATCTTATGGCTTAGATTTTTCCCCCTGATTATTTCTTCTAAAATTGGTTCATGATATGCTGATTTTGAAAGAGAGTGGAAGTAAAGAGAAACGGGGCAAGGAAAGAGGGAAAGCAGCTTGTTACCCTCACAACAGGATGTTGCTTCTACCTCTCTCAGTGTGCTTTGCTTGTAAACACTGGTGCAGGCCAGACCCCAGTGGGGGTTAAAGCTCCCAAACTGAATGCCTGATAACTTGTCCTACCTCAAAGCTTGGACTCTACTTCTTGTCTTAATAGACTCTTCCAGGGTGGGTAATTGAAGACCTCCATTACTGGAACCTAAGGCTGTTTTTAGCTCCTCATTTAACCATTTCATCTAGTTCTCACTCTCTTTTTTTTTTTTTTGTCCCAGATTGTTTGTTAACTAAAGAATGATTAGTTATTAGATGCCAAAGAAAGCACTCTGTTCCTACTTTAATGTAATGGTAGTGGCCATTTCAAATGTAATTATAATGTCCTTAAAAGGAAAGACGTTAGCTGTTTTGCAGTCTCCCTATACACAGCTGAAATAACTTTTTATTATTTTGCCCATACACAGAGCACCCCAAATTACCATAGTCTGAGTGGCAACTGGCAGCAGCCATTAAACCTTGTAGTCATCTCTCCATTATCTTTAACAAATGTTTTTAATCCCAGGCTGCCTCTCTCCTGTCATCTCTTCACCCTTGTGCCATCACCCTCTGCCAACAGAGAGTTTAGAGATTATTTTGACATATCAAAATTTGACATTATCAAAATAATTCAGAAGAAATTTAGAAGAAAGAAATTGTAACTTTCATTATTTACTCCTAGATGTATATGTAAACTCTAGTGTCAGTAATACCTTAGTGCATTTTATGTACTTTGTTCTTTTTAAATTTTATTGTGATAAAATATATATATATATATATTTTTACCAAAACATTTTTACTTTAACCGTTTTTAAGTGTGTAATTCACTGACATTAATTACATTCACCATGTTGTGTAACTATCTCCACTATCCATTTCCAAAACTTTTTCATCACCCCAAAAAGAAATTCAGTACCCCTTAAGCAGTAACTCCCCATTTTGACCTTCTCCCAGCCCCTGGTAACCACAAATATATATTTGCCTGTTCTACATATTTCATGTAAGTGGGGTCATACAGTATTTGTCCTTTTGTGTCTGATGAGTGCATGATGCTTTCAGGGTTCATCCATACTGTAGCATGTGTCAGAACTTCGTTTCTCTTCATGGCTGAGTCATATTCCATTGTATGGATAGACCACATGTTGTTTATCCATTTGTCTGCTGATGGACACTTTGGGTGTTTCCACTTTTTGGCATTGTGATTAATGCTGCAGTAACACTGGTGTACAAGTATCTGAGTCCTTGCTTCAAGTCTTCTGGGTATATACCTGGAAGTGGAATTGCTGGGTCATGTGGTAATTCTCTGTTTAACTTTTTGAGGACCCACCAAATGTTTTCCACAGCGGCTATACTATTTTACATTCTCACCAGCAATGGATCAGGGTTCTGGTTTCTCCACATCCTTGTCAATACTTGTTATTTTCTGATAGTAGTTATCCTAGTGGATGTGAAGTGGTATCTCATTGTGGTTTTGATGTGAATTTGCCTCATGACTAATGATGCTGAGTATCTTTACATGTGCTCATTGGCCATTTGTGCATCTTCTTTGGAGAAATAGCTACTCAAGTCCTTTGCCCATTTTTCAATTGGGTCATTTTATGTACTTTTCATCACTTTGCCATCGAGGTCAAGAATCTATTGAATGATTCACACTATTGAATAATCTAGGATGTAACAAAAGCCAGTAATGCTTTTAGGTTATGTGCATCCTGAGTACCAAATGGCTGGTGAAAGTTTATTAATGTGCCTGTATCTGGCAGTGAGAAAGATTCTGGGGATTATTCTTTAAGCACATTTCAAAATGCGAAAACTCTGTCACTACCAGTTGATACAGAGCAGATATTCTTAACCTTTCTTAGGTTACGGATGCCCTCAGCAACCTGGCAAAGCCTATTGATATTCTCAGAAGAATGTTTTTAAAGGTATAAAACATAACTCTTAGAATTACAAAGGAAACTGATTGTATTAATGTGTTAGTACTAAAATATTTTAAAAACCAGTTTTGTGATATAGTAATGTGATAACGGAGTACCGGTGCACTGTAGTTAAGAGCTAGGCTGCTAAGCAAAAGGTCGGCAGTTTGAATCCGCCAGCTGCTTCTTGAGAATCCTATGGGGTAGTCTACTCAGTCCTACAGGGTCGCTATGAGTCGTAATCTACTTGACGGCAACAGGTTTTTTTTTGGAATGTGATAATGCATTATATAACAAGATCTAGCTATGGGTCTAATTATTGCTGTAATTTCAAAGTAGTAATAGGCAAAAATGATATTTCAGGGTATCTGCAACAGCCATAAGGTCACATAAAAATATCCATTGGTGAAAACATCACAGGTATTACTATAACTACTGTCAATTATTGCTTACATTCGAAATTGAAATAAATTCTAAATTACAGATTGAGATTAGTGAAAATGAAGATGTATTTTTTTTCTGTCCAAATCCATGTTCCCCCAAATTCTATCCACAGACTCTGTAGACCCTTGGTTAAGTACCCCCAATTTAATTAATTTCATTGGGTAAGCTTACTTATTATTTCTGCTTATTTTTAAAGAATCTCTACAATTTTTGCTATAGAAAACCTAAATAGAGAAATGGTGACAGGCTTTTCTATATTAATCCATCAGCTAGATATACCACTTTAAATGGACAGATAAAAAAATGTTTGATGTGGCTAATTTGTGTAATGAAAGTCATGAGGTATTTTTAAATTAAGCTTTTTACAGGAGATTTAGTTTAATTGTTAATGTTTGTTCTGAGTTATAGACTACCTTGACTGAGAAAGTAAGAACAAGTTTAAAGAATGGAGTGAGAGATTGTTGGAGAATACAGAAAGTGCAAAGAATTGTGACCAAGGAGGTATCACTGAAGTAGGGGGAAAACCCCAATATTTTAGAAATGAAGATTCTTAAACTCAAGCAATATGTTGTTGGATCAGAATTTTCAAGGGCACTCCGGACGACTGAGGAGCAGGGCTTAGCACTTTTAGAAACACTACCTTACGTACTCTGGCCTACAATTCAGAGGTGATAGAAGTGTGGTTGAAGTGTTCTTCTTGTTACCATGGTGATAATTAATATGTATTTTTAAAGACATTTTCCAGCCCTGAAGTGTTTAATAGAGGACACTGACCTTCTTACTCTGGAATTAGAAAACGATTGCTGCTTTCCTACACACGAGGCGTTTCAGAGCGTGTGCACTCATAGGCACCATGGTTGCCATTGTTGGCACTGTGACTGTTGTTCCGTATTAATGCGGCTGTCTCGCCTGCTCTTTCCAGATTTCTTTTGACCTCGCTGAATACACCGCAGATGTTGATGGCGTTGGCACTTTGCGGCTTCTGGATGCAGTGAAGACCTGCGGCCTTATCAGCTCTGTGAGGTTCTACCAAGCCTCAACAAGTGAACTTTATGGGAAAGTGCAAGAAATTCCACAGAAGGAGACCACCCCCTTCTATCCCCGGTCACCCTATGGTGAGTGCGTGCAGACTCATGTGCACCCCTGTGCTCTGTATGGGTGGGGAATGTGTGTTTCGGTTTTAATTCTGTTCGTGTCTCACTGCTGAAGTCCTTTGGGTGTGCGATAAGCTTTAAGACAGACCAAAGTGACTCAACTTGTTGAGAAGCATCCCTTTATAAATTGATGAATACACGTATTTGTTGCCATTGCCTCGGGGTGGAATACCGCCTCACTTCACCAAGTCTTGTTCATTCAACCCTCCCATACAGATCACTTTAAAAGGAACATTAGACCCAACATGATTCCTTTTATTCAGATTGTGCTGAAGTGACAAGGTTTCATGCTTTATACTTCCCCGTGAAAGTCTCCCTGAGCTTAAACCCTTATAAAAAAAATCCTGTTGTATCTAATATATTTGTAAAGAGAGTATTCATGAAAAGACTTCAGTGATAAAATTTCAAAGCAAACTGGAATATTAAGATCTCATATTTTTTACTTTCTGACATCTTGAAACTACAGAAAGGGAATAAAACCTAAGAAAGGTAAACTTGATACATTGCACACACTATAGTTGAGTTAGGTTGTGAAAGAAAGAACTGTGGGTGTTGTAAAAGTAAGAAATTCTTAAATATTTCCTTGTGAGCATGATTAATTGATAAAGAACCTTTATTTGTTTTGGCTTTTGATTCTTTTTTTTTTTTCCTAGCTTGATACATTACAAATTGTAATTTTTGCAAATTGATACTTGTTTAAGATGAATTAAAAAACATTGATTTTCATTATAATAAGCTTTATTTGCTTTAAATTCCAACAGGGGCGGCAAAACTCTATGCCTATTGGATTGTGGTGAACTTCCGTGAGGCATATAATCTCTTTGCAGTGAATGGCATTCTCTTCAATCATGAGAGTCCCCGAAGAGGTTAGTAAAACTATATTAATTAAAAAGAGAATTCCAGACTTTAAACAATCAGAAAGTTCTATGTATATTCAGCATATTTACTATGTTGACTGTAAAAAAATATTTACACCTGGTTCTCCGTACTGTGAACGTCAGAAGTGTTAAAGGAAGAAATACAAATTCAGCCTTAATTACTTATTAACTCTGTTTTTCTTTATTCAACTTGAAATATAAAACAGTATTCCAGTTTTACACTTTTCATTGGTAGATCTTATCAAGCATGCTTTCAACCTAAGTATTAGGAAGTTTCCATATGTAGGCACAGGAATAAGTAGTAAACTAATGCCCATTTCTGAAAGTCACTCTTACTCACATAGACTTGACTTGTAGAATCTGTATTTTTTTTTTAAACTCTGATTCAGTTGGACATTCAGTATTGTTTTCTTTGTTGTTGTGTACCTTCGAGTCGATTCCGACTCATAGCGACCCTGTAGGACAGAGTAGAACTGCCCTGTAAGGTTTTCAGGGAGCGGCTGGTAGGTTTGAATTGCCGACCTTTTGGTTAGCAGCCTCAGCTCTTAACCACTAGGCCCCCAGCGCTCTATTCTTTCTTTAGATTCCATTAAACAGACACACAGAAATTACTCTGCTTCTGTAGATTATATCTCAAAATAAATTTGAAATTAGTTTTGTAGTTAGAAGAATTATCAGGGTTTGTTGTTTGTTTTTCAGAAAACCATATTTGTTTGCATTGCCTTATTGCCTTTTCATAGTTGTTGGCTGAGACTGTTAGCAACATACTCTCCTGTTCCTAATAATAGATGTTAAAAAAGAAAATGTTTACTCCTATCATTACTTGTGATTTACTGAAGCATGAGAACGCTATAAAACATGTACACTCTTTACAAAGTAAAAATTGTCTGTATAATCTAATTCTAAGAAGTTTTATTAAATTTCACTATCATTTAGCCTTTTAGCCCAAGAAAACTGAGTTCAGTGTTTTAAGTTGTTTCATGCCCAACAACTAGTAATGCTTGTAATGAAATTTTATGTGACTATAGAGCCACCTAATTAAACCAACAAGTCATGATTAGAAAGATTAAAGTGACAGGTTTATAAAGGTATCTTTAATGTCAATATGTTTTTATTTTATAATTTCACAAGTCAAAAATTCCCATGATGGACTGTTAAAGCATAAGAATCTAACCTGTCATCTCTTCTGCTCAAAAGGAATACAAGTTAACAAACAGGCAGAGATATTTCTTTTGTTATTTTTGTGGTTGTGGATGTGATTAGTAGAGGGAAAGGCACAGGCAAATCTGAGCCATCATTGTCTATAGGATGTGGTATGCTGGGTGCTCAGGGAATCTGTTCAGAAAATGATAACCCTTGCGCCTTTTCTCACAAAAACATTTATACACATTATTTGGTTTTCTGGTGTTTTCCCTCTCAACTTTCCATTTGCAAAAAAAAAAAAAAAAGTTGTTGTGGATCAGGTTAGGAGAGGGAAAAGCAATTCTTACAGAGTGAAAAGATAAATTTAAAAATGACTCCTCCTCAAAATCCTTTTTTACTGTTGTCTGTGCTATTTACATACCTTGTAATGAAAACTTTTTTCTCTTGGTCGATGTTAATTACTTTCTTCTTTTAAAAAGTAAAAAGGTATTTAAAAAGTAATATTTTTTTAAAAGTTCCATCCCTCACACTCACTCCTCACCCCATCCCCAGGCCCACTGTTAACATTCCTTCATAAATTTTCTATATATTTTTATTTTAAACATAAAAATCTCTATATATTGTTCTGTAGCTATAGCTTTTGTTAAACATTTGTTGTAAACTTGACATTGTAACATACCCTATTTTGTTTTTTCTTTATTATACCTGGAAATTAGTGATATCCCATTATTTCCTTCATTTATATAGTCAAATAATGAAAAAAATATACAAGTATATCTGGAAATGATGTGATACTTTGATTAGATATCTAATACCTATAACATTACTTGGAATTTGAAAATTAATTTTTATATTGACTAAATCTGCTAACAGTATTCCCAGATTAATTGTTGTTTACTGGGGAAGTTTCTTTGCCAGACTGATAATTCCTTAATGGCAGGACTATGTTGTATTTTTAAATATCCAGTGTTTGTAACAGTGCCTGTCTACTAATAAGCATTCAGTAAATAGTTTTTAAATGAATGAATAAATGAAAAATGAATAAATACCTCATGTTTCAATAAAACTTCACTGACTTGAAAGCTTGTTGTTGTTAAGTGTCATAGAGTCGGTTCTGACTCATAGTGACCCCACGCACAGCAGAACAAAACGCTGCCCAGTTCTGCGCCATCCTCACAATCGTTGCTATGTTTGAGCTCGTTGTTGCAGCCACTGTATCAGTCCATCTTGTTGAGGCTCTTGAAAGCTAAGCAGTCTGAATTGGAGAACAACAGGAATTTAGAGGATAGTTTTCAATAAATGTGGTTTTATTGATTTCACACATGTATTAATTAAAGCTCACAAGCAATTTTGAAGATTGACCCGTATTGATATACTTAAATAAAAAGTAAGATTCATTTTTAATTAATAATCTTAATTTGTGGGCGTCTACACTGCTGAGGCGCTTAGAGTGAGTTTATTTTGTTAAGTAGGTTGAACATTGATACATCAACTCTTTTGTGCCCTATTATTACATGGAACAAATGCAGTGGTAAATCTCAATCCAGTCCAAGGTAAATAATCACAAATGCCCAATTAATAGAGCCCCAAAAGATGCAGGTATTTTTGGGACATACTAACCAAAAGGTCAACAGTTTGAAGCCACCAGCCTCTCCTTGGAAACCCAGTGGGGCAGTTCTGTTCTGTAGGGTCGCTATGAGTCAGAAACGACTTCACGGCAACGGATTTGGTTTGAGTTTTTTTTATACTTTTTGTCTAAAGAAAAGTAATTAACAAAGAACATTTGACTGTGTGAATATTATTCCATAAGAATTCTGACTTTAAAGAGTATATTCTAGACCAGTGGTTGGCAAACTATGGCACACAGGCCAAATCCAGCCCGTTGCTTTTTTTTCCCAAGCCTGATTTTCTTAAAATAAAGTTTTATTGGAACATGGCCATGCCCATTTGTTGACATATTGCCTACAGCTGCTTTCACATTACAGAGACTATCTGGCCTGCCATTCCTAAAATATTTACTGTCTGGCCCTTTACAGAAAACATTTGCCGACCCTGCTGTAGACAGTTAAGCTCGGAGACTAATAGCTCTCTGTATTCTCAGGCTCCTCGTCCATTTCTGTATGTAGATATTTCAAGGGTAATCTATTGTTTGCTGCTCTGTGGATTTCTGCTGGCTGATTGACCTCTTCCAGGCCTCTTCCATTATGACATTTTTTTATCCAAGCTCTAGGAAAACATTTTTCTTTCTTCCTGTGACTCAACTAAATCTGACATGTGACTCTACAAGTGCCCCCATGGATGTCTTCTGCATTTTGAGTCCATGAAAAATTGAGTGCTGTGTTATGATCAGGAAGGGCCCATTAAGTTAGTGGAGCAGGAAAGGAAAGAGGGTGCGTGTGGGAGGGCACTGTACACTTGGAGTAGAAATTAAGAGAGGGCTTCTCTGATTCTTTCTCTGAGCAGTACAGTGACGTCAGGCATGCTGCTGAACTTCTGATCCTCAGTTTCTTTAGCCTTAAAATGAGGAAAATTTCTGACCTACATACTGCAGTATCAAAAAAGATAGAGAATGTGAAATCCCTTTATATAAAGCTTTATACAAGTTTAAGTAAGGTATTATGAAGGGTGAGAGTTTACACTCAGAACACAAAATGTCAATTAACTGGAACTTAGCAAAATAATTTTCTAAAGAATTTCCTTCAGTGAGTCTATTTTTGTCAGCGAAAGATCAAGTATCTTTTGGAATTCTGAATTTTTTGCAAGTTAGTGCAGTGCTTATACCATGGCACCCCTCCCCACCGCAGGGTCTGAGGCAGCACCCCATGAACATTAATACATGTGCAGCAAAACATGAATAGTCAAACCAAGCAGCACAAAGACTGCAGACAGCCAAATGAGTTTGTGTGAAAATGTAAGAAAAAAGAATTTGTTTCCAAACTTTTTGGATTTTGGAGTTGCAGGAAAGAGATTGTGGGTCTGTGTATTAAGATATTCTTGAGGCAGAACAATTCCAATTCTAGTGCTCAAATCTACATCTATATATACTTTATTTTCTAGATTCATTATTACTCAGAATAATGCATATCCAGAACAGATAGATCCTCAACGTCCAAAAAAACTTTCAGCTGGGTTTATTGTGGGTTTGTCCCAAGGAGGCAAGGTAGGTTTTTAGAAAGATTTCCAACAAATACGAAAACTCAAGAGAGTAAATAGTTAACCAGTCCTTAAACAGAATTGCTGAAGTATTTTATACTTTACTTCTGTACTCTAAACCTATTGCCATGGAGCTGATTCCAACTCATAGCGACCCTATAGGACAGAGTAGAACTGCTCCATAGGATTTCCAAGGCTGTAATCTTCACGGAAGCAGACTGCCACATCTTTCTCCCGAGGAATGGCTGGTAGGTTCAAACTGCCAACCTTTCAGTTAGCAGCCAAGCACTTAACCACTGCACTACCAGAGCTCCTTTTTCTCTATTCTAGTAACCATAAAAATGAGTTTGAATTTGCTCTAAAGTAAAGCTAATTGTTGGTGAAGTGTGGAACCAAACAAATTAGTAACTGACCCAAGATCTGTAGCATAGTTCAGCACAGTAACCCCCGTGTCCTGAGTTTTGACACTTACTCATTATGTTTTTAATTGTCTTATGTGTCTTTTCCTACATTCTGATTACTCATGATTTTCTTTTTTTTCTTTCCTTCCTTCCATCTTTCTTTAAGTGTATTTGTTTAGTTGTGTTTTGAGAACTTTATACTACTATTGGTGATGGTCAGAATCATCTGTGGCTGGCACAAAATCAGCAGTTGGATATCATTGATCTAGTGAATGAAGTCAGTAACCCATG